CCGCTCCACGGAAGCCGCCACCAAATACTTCTTAGCACAATCTACCGCATCCATAATCCTTATAATAGCAATCATTTTCAATAATCTACTATCAGGACACTGAACAATAACAAGTTACACCAACCAATTCTCATCCTTAATAATAACAACCGCCCTTGCCATAAAACTAGGAATAGCTCCCTTCCACTTCTGAGTCCCAGAAGTTACCCAAGGAACATCCCTAACCTCTGGCCTACTCCTCCTTACATGACAAAAACTAGCTCCCATCTCAGTCATATACCAAATTCACCCATCAACCAACATCCACGTCCTCCTAACTTTCTCAACCCTATCTATTATAACAGGTAGTTGAGGAGGCCTCAATCAGACACAATTATGCAAGATTATAGGGTATTCTTCAATCACTCACATAGGGTGAATAACAATGACACTAATATATAACCCAACTATCACAGTCCTCTACTTGGATTGCAATGCAGTTGCAACCAAGGCCTTGAGTAATCTATATGTCGCTCTGTAACTGGGGTGGCAGTTTAGAGTTGTCCAGAATTGAAGGGAGAAAGCTGGGCTTTTTTACCTCCTCTACGGATCTGGGCTACTCTGGAGCAGGGGACAAAACTTGGGTGAGGCAACCTCACTTCTACCAAAGGCAATTCCTGGGGATGCAACTGTGAGCTCAGCGGCCAACAGTCAAGACAACTGGAGGAATCAGAACCTCAGTCCTGGTGAGGGATCTGGGTGGCGTCCACGACAGCATCCCATTAAATGGAAAACTGGCAGTACTATTTTTGGAATTGTGGATTTTACAACTCAAGTCTATCTCATTATCTCAAATCGATGTCAAAATGTTACACTGTGCTGGACCAGGAACTAGGATGCTCCAAACCTGTCCATGATACGTTCTCATAGCTGCTATAAACATCTCAAGAACCCACATGTGATTGGACCTGAGAGCCCAAGGAGGTGCTATTCTAACTGATATCTCTGCTGACCCCGGTAAGCTGGGGAGCTCGGCTGCAGTACACCAGGTGTCTGGCTAGGAAGTTGTTTCCATGCCTAGCCAAAGGTGAAGGACCCAGGGTGGTCGCCTGAAATGTGTTTGTCAGATACAGGTCATCATTTCTGGGAACCTTTGGCCTCATTCCCCACATCCCTCTGGCTCAAACGTGTGATGGTTTAAATCAAGATGCTTGGAAGCAATGAGAAATAACCCACTAGAATGTTTCTGCTGCTTCCCTTCTTGCCTACAGTCCCACCCTCTCCTGCACACATGCAGACAGACACACACAAGTACAGTACTGTTCTACCATATCCTTAATTTTACAGATCTCCCGCTGAAGGTTCTGACTAATGGTAAGTTATTTGTTCAGAAAGATTTTATGGCTCTCATAAAACGTCAATTACAGTTTTAAAATAACTTGTAGTTTTTCTGTAACATGATGCTGCCATCTTGGTTCCCAGAGGGTGTATTAAATTCAAGTAGCAATAACAAATCATTTAAGCAATAAATAAATAACCTGAGACGGAGCGTTGTTAAGAGTTAATAGTCTCCCATACACTCAATAGAGGTTGAGGCTCCACTCAATTAAAGTGACCCCGGGAGGGGGGGGCACAGGGGCCAAACTGCACCCAGTCGTTTTGTTGAAGGTATTCAACCCGCACACATTCATTTCCTTCTTTATGTTGTCTCTTTTCAGCAGGGAAGGCTCTCTGCAGTCCCTGGTTCCAGAGAACAATTACGGTACAGTCTCAGAGAACAGAGAGAAAGCTGGGGTCATAAATATGTTAAATGGGTGCGTGGGTTTAAGTGGCTTTGTAAACGAAACACGGAGGAAAACTCAGACTAATTAATGAATATGAAGCAGCGGGAAGGCTGGAGGTTTCTGGGGGACAGTCTTGTTGTGGGGTGAGGATGTGACATCTGTAGAATTATTTTCCTCCAGGAAGGGACACTTGCTTATTTCAAAAACTTTTTTTCAAGATCTCAAAGTGGCTTTGTGGAGAATATCAGATGTGGCAGAAAACATGCAAAAAGCATTTAAAAGTGAAATTCTCTTAAGTTGCAATTCCTCTGATCAAGTTATAACCTCAGCCCGAAAGAATGATCTTGCAGATTTTTAAAAAGTGTTATCCTTGTATTCTGAGAGAGAGACATCATGCTAATCTTGAAAAGAAGATGAATTGCATATTGTTGATACAGATTCATAGTGCATTCCAATATATAGACTCTCTCCTAATAAGTGGTATTTGTTGAATATTAAATTCCATTTGGATCAAATCAAGGATTAAGATTTTATGATGTGGCATTTCTGTAATGTTCTAAAACATTTCAGTTTCTCTGTTTGGAGAATTTACTATCTTTCCTTTTGTTCCTTCTTCACTTTTTGTTGAAAAAATTATTAGCACAAATATCTTATCTGCATGGGACGTTAAAGGTTCCCTGCATGCCTCCTATGACCCGTGTTTACCTACAAATGACTTCCAGATCTTCTGTGTGAGACAAGCCAGTGCTGGTACTCTGAAATGTCCCTGAACTTGGGGGATGCTGACACTGTAGGAGCCAGTCAGAGAACAACCACCAAACACAGGCCACAGCAGAGACGCGGATGGACAAAGGAGTCAGGGAGGAGAGACAGACTCGAACAATGATGGGAAACATAGACAGGCACAAAGAAAGACACAGAGAAAAACAAAAACAAAAACAAAAAACCCAGAAGCAACAGAAAAGTGGCAAACAGTAATACTGCTTCTAGGATGTGCCCAGACTTCCTTGTTTAATTGACCAAATGGCAGAGCTGTGAGCAAAAGATTAAATAGTTGATCTAATTTGATTGTTAAGATACAAAAATAAGCAGAGCAACCTCACCTTAAGCTGTTTCAGCGTCTTAGTTGCAATGATAAACAAACAAAACATTGCTAAATCTTGTCTATATTGATTCAACCAAGTCATTTTATTTTTATTGCATTTAAAGCTGAAGAATTATAATTCTTAAATGTAATTCATAAATGACATTTATTCTTCAAAAAGAAATAGTACATGTTTTATTGAACACCTGCTACAGGAAAGGTAGGGGATCAAGGCTTTCCACAAAGAATACAAGGATGTGTAAGAACTCTAATTGATCTTAAATTATTAAGGAAATAGATGGTCAAGGTTACATGATAAACATATGTCAAACTAAATGATATCAAGATAAGTCCTGAATAGTACAAGAAACAACAGAAGAACTCTCACAAGAAAAAACTCTTGATAAATTGCTTAATAAGGGATACAGATTATAAATGTTTTGAGGTCTGAAAGGAGAAGACTTGGGAGTTACAGTAATCATTGATTGTTCCATGGAGATCATGACCCGCTTTGGGCCTTCAGGGACCTCTGATTCCCTTACAGGTGAAAAGAAGAAAAGGATTTGGAGACCTTTATTTACATATTGTTTATTGCTATTTTTTGATTTATAAGGAACAATGAAATCATAAGCATATTAATAGTAGTATGATGTGAATTGTATTTTGTCTTAAATTTTCAACTTATGCACAAATACAAAGAGAAAGTTATCTAGGCAATCTTCGGGCTGCAATGAAACTATTCTATGGAAGAGAGTGATTCTGCAAATAGTTATTAAGCAAAAAAATGATAGTAACTCTCAAATACCTATCCCTTTTAACAGCATCTGTATATACAAACTATCAAAATACTATTTTATATATGGTCTTTGCTGTGTCAGAATGGAATAATGTCCTTCTCCCCTGAATACCTTATAGCTCTCAGAGCATGATTTAAACACTCAAATGTCTATCAAACAGAGAAGAAAAACAGATCCGTATTTGCCTAGAGTTGAGGATGGGAGCAGGGAATAACTGTTACCTGGGCACAAAGGAATTTGGGCAGTGATGGAAATGTTCTAAAAAATACATTGTGGTAATGATTGTACAATTGAATACATTAACTAAAGTCACTGAATTTTACATTGATTATAAGAAAATTTAATGATTTGTAAATTATAATTCAAGAAAGCTATCTTGTTTTAAGTGTCTACCAGGCCAGGGTGGTAATGTAACGCAATCCCAGGTTCTATGTTGTGGATGAAGATGCAGTCTTTTTGCATGGTAAATGTTTAAGAGTGTCCCTCAACCTCACTCAGATTTTGCAATCTCCCATATTTCATGAAACCCAGGATTTTCTTGTCCTATTTTTCATTTTCTAATTTTTATAGAGACGTGAGTATAGAAAAACATTGTTTAAATTAGAGGAAAATGACATGACAAATGACAATCCAAGATTTCTCACTGTGGAGCCTCAGTAGAGAGTGGTGGGGCCATAATACCTGGAGGGGTGTGTCCCGTGTCAAGGGGACGACCACTACTCAGCTCCATTGGTTGTTACAGGGTAGGGAGAGGAAGTTGCTGGATTTTCTACATCTCCAAGAGAATGTTATAATGAAATCTGATTTTAAGATGTTGGTTCAGACTTTTAAAACAAAACACAATGTGGTCCAAACAAAATGGGACCAATTCAATCGATAAGATGAAAATCCACAGCCTCTGCTTTATATTCAGAAGCTCACAGTGTAGTGCTTAATTGTGGATTTCCTAGTTTTGCTCACTGTTGTTCTCTGTGGGCTAATTGTGACTCTTCAGCTTTTTATAGTTCCTGGAGCTGGAGGTTGGGGTAAGGGTTTTGGGCCTGATAAATACATGTGTATGCATGTATGTGTGTGTGTACTGGTCTCAACCCCGTGCCTAGCTTTGTGCCAAATATATATGACAAATGCACAGTCAGTACTGTTGATTTCATTACTATAATCAAAATATCATGCAAATAAATGTTTTCTTGAAGGCTAGCTCAAATATGCATGCTACTTCACCCATCTAGTAAGATACAGTCTGGACTCAAACTCAAGTCTAAGCAGACATCACTTAAAATGACAATGACCTGTCAGGTTTTCCCTGGCCAGATCTAGCATACAAGAAAATAAAATAACATTTTTCTGTATTGGGCCATCATATGATTTCTGAAATGTGGCTGAGACTAGAGAGATTCTTACTAAATGTTGTTTCTTCTTTCTGGGCATACATAAAGACTACATTTCCCATTCTCCCTTGCAGTTAGTTTGAAGTCACTTGACTATATTTTAGGCATGCAATTTGAGCAGACATATTCCAGGACTGGCTTTAGAAGTCTCCTGCATGAATCTCCATACCTCTTCTCTTCCCATGCTGTAGCATTTGTGGAGGATATGTGTTAGAATAGAGTCATCACATGATGGAAGGAACCTGGGTTCCTGAGTCGCAGGGTGGAGGAGAGTCACAAAGGAGAGTCATCTGGCCTACATCAGACTAAGACAGGTAATAAATAAATATATTTTATTTATTTATTTATTTATTTATTTATCAGTGTTAAGCCACTGATATTTGAGGATTGCTTGTTATATAGCAACTAGTATTATTTATCCCGTGCTTTTTAAGGGATAGTCTGAAAAAAATTGATTACACATATAGGTGGTTCAGACCCTTCCGATGTAATTAATAATGACAGATTGCTGAATAATCATACACTTTTCATAGTTAACAAAACTCCTTTGCACACTATTTTATTTAATGCTCACAACACAACCCTGTGAGGGAACAAGATGAGGCTTATCACCATTGGGACAGATAGGAAACTGGGGTGCAGAAAGGTAAAGAGAAGCAGCTGGGATTTAAACCTGAGTATTTTGAGTCCTTATTTAGCTTCCTGTTCATCTACCACTGTTTATGTTTAGCAGCGAATCCCCAAAGAGGTGGAAAGAATCCTTAAACTTGTTATCTAATTATCTTTTCATATTCATATTTTAATTGCAAAATTGCATGCAATATTGATGCCAAGTCTTCAACATGGCCTGGGTTCTTACACTAATGTTAATTATTATTGCTTCAATTAGGTTTCTGTAAAAAGAGAAGGGGTTGTGCAACTTCATCTACTGCATTTTATTCACATAAAAACTTGATGATGACATATAAAAACTTGGATTTTTATAGTGCAATGTATCTCCTGGAAAAGTATAAAATTCAGAATTTTTCATCCATAAGGTAAAATACATGGTGTATAATTATAAGTACAATTTGCCCCATTTTTGAATAACTTCTTTCTCAATTAGTGGTGTACACACTGACAAAAATTTCCTTTGCGGGGACAAAAATTAATAATATTTTATAAATATGATGCACCAAAAAATTAAACACTTTCAAAACTGTTTTTCACCAAAGAGAAGAAATAAAATACTAACAACGAATAAGCTCAAGGAATTTCCAAACTTTTATATTCTACGGTCCCACTCACATTCTATCTCTTTACTTTCCTTGTTCCCCGTCTGAAATAGCACATTTTAAATCCATTATGATTCTGTCAATGTTTTCAGGATTGCACAGAGTGCAGCCTACTGTGTACCACACCTAGGTGGTTCTCAACCCCCAGAAAATGTTTGGCAATGTTTGGCAACTGATGCATTGTCACGGGCCTGCATATTCTGAAGGGTCCCACGTTTCATTTAATGCTCTGTGGCTGCCCCTTATCATTCTTAATAATTTTATCTTTGAACTTGGATTTTGTGAGTAAAGTCTGATGGGACAGTGGAGAATGTGCATAAAAAAGATGTAGAATATGTGGGGATGCCTTTTCTTGCCACCCCATTCACGTTTTAGTAGCATTCATGGTGCCCCATGAGCACAGAATGCTGGTGGTCTACTGTGAGTGGGAGTTCAGTAAGACACAGAAGTAGTACAAATTAACAGAGTTTCATCTATACCAATGTAGCTCCACTAGGCTGTACTTTCTGCTTGAACCAGAGCTTTCTTTGAGTGCAGAAAAACACAAGCAACGAAGGAATCCTGTCATATTCTTTCTTATTCAGGCTATTTTCCTATATTAGCCGAGCACTTGTCCTGAAAATGATGACACAGAGAGAAAAGGAAAGATAGGGCAATGCATAGTTCCTTTTCCTTCCAGAGCTCCCCTATTCAGCAGTAAGCTGAAGGTAGAGAGAGTTTGTAGAACGTGTGCATGTTTTTATTTTCTTTTTTGAGATGGAGTTTCATTCTTGTTGCCCAGGCTGGAATGCAATGGCACAATCTCAGCTCACTGCAACCTCCACCTCCAAGGTTCGAGCAATTCTCCTGCCTCAGTCTTCCGAGTAGCTGGGATTACAGGCACACGCAACCACCAATCCTGGGTAATTTTTTGTATTCTTAGTGGAGATGGTGTTTCACCATGTTGGCCAGGCTGGTCTTGAACTCCTGACCTCAAGTGATCTGCTCACCTTGGCCTACCAAAGTGCTGGGATTACAGGCATGAGCCACCATGCCCAGCTCAATGTGTGCATATTTTGTGCAACATTTTCACTATTCTAGTAAGAGTGACATGCATGTGCATGTGTGAACTATGACATAGGAGTTGTGTCTTTGTTTGAGATGGAGTGTCACTCTGTCACCCAGCCTGGAGTGCAGTGGCGCATTCTCGGCTCACTGCAGCCTCTGCCTCCCAGGTTCAAGCGATTCTCCTGCCTCAGCCTCCCAAGTAGCTGGGATTACAGGCACACGCCACCCTCCCTGGCTAATTTTTTGTATTTTTACTGGAGATGGGGTTTCCCCATGTAGATCAGGCTGACCTTGAACTCATGACCTCAGGTGATCCACCCGCCTTGGCCTCCCAAAGTGCTGGGATTACAGGCGTGAGCCACTGCACTCAGCTATATCATTTCTTTATATGAGCTAAATGCTGTTATATTTGCAATTAAAACTGGGGTTCTGCAACATAAAGATAAACAGTAAAATTCATGCTAATAAGTTAAAGTTTTAATTTTTCTTTATTGGACTGACATTAAATAGCAAATAAAAAATATTAATACCATGGCAAGTCGAGAGAGAGATGGTGGAAGAAAGGAAAAGCTGCACGTTTCAGTACCTTTAATGTTACTTTTCCCCTGCTTTTTCAACAAGGAGTCTACATTTTCATTTTGCACTGCACCCTGAAAATTATGCAGTCGCACTAATGGAGACAGTTTTGATTGTCACAACTGGGATGGGGGATGCTACTGGCATCTAGCAGGAAAAGGCCAAAGATGCTGCTAAACGCCCTGCAGTGCACAGGACAATCTTTACCACAGAGCCAAAAATGTCCATGGTGCAAAGGTTGAAAAACCCTGTGGCATTTGGGTCCATTTATAACTTTTCCAACTAAATGTCCAGTCCCTTAGGTCATGGGCCACTGCTGCTTTTTCTAACTCGTGTAGCATCCAGTACACTTTCTGGCACCACTGGTGGAATGTTTAAAAAAGTGATCAGCCAGGACCGGTGGCTCACACCTGTAATCCCAGCTCTTTGGGAGGCCGAGGTGGGTGGATCACAAGGTCAGGAGATCGAGACCATCCTGGCTAACATGGTGAAACCCCGTCTCTACTAAAAATATAAAAAAGAAAAATTAGCCGGGCGTGGTGGCAGGCGCCTGTAGTCCCAACCACCTGGGAGGCCGAGGCAGGAGAATGACTGCACTCCAGCCTGGGTGACAGAGCAAGACTCCGTCTCAAAACAAAAAAAAAAAGAATCAATGCTTGTTCTTTAAAAAGAAAAAAAGGAATAGTCTTTCAATGTTCTTTGCTTGTTATATCACCCTCCGTGTCATACAGGCTTAGTAAACAATTTGCACAGCTTGCTGAAGACTTGTGTGCTTCAAGTCAGTGGTGAAGCAGGAAACAGAAGCCCTACCTCTGATCTTCAGAGATAGACTTAGATTTATTATTTCCATCAGAATTAATATGTAGCTGAAAAGGCATAATTGAGAATTGAAAAGATTTTACTACTGAAGTTAGGAGGCAGGCGTCAGTGAAAGGAAATATTAATTTAGTTCCTGACTTATGGGCACTGATATTGGGTGCTTCATATTTAATCCTTTGTTATAAATGGTTATTCTTTTTTACAATGTTTATTGTTTTTAATAATTTTTAATAAATGGTTATTCTGTTTTATAGGTGAGAAACTTGAGGCTCAGAGAGATTCAGTAACTCATCCAAGTTCATATGTCTAAACAATGTAGACTCAGGTCTATGTGACTCTGAAACATGTGACGCAGGATCAGGCCCCCCTGCAGTTACACTTCACCACTGAGGACTACAATATGAACCCTGAGGTTGAAATGCCAGTCCTATTCCACATTTATGCAGTGCCCCCACTGATGGGGGTACCACATACCCTGTCCAAACCAAGACACCTTTGAGAGTGAAAGGAGTTATTAATCTGTATGCTGGGACAATAGCATATTATTAACTAGGACTGCTCCAGTGACATGGGGACCTACTATGATCATCCCCAACCCCCAGGAATTTCTTGGAAGCGGGTTGCTTAGCAACACAAGGGAAGCGTCTTGGTCAGGGCATCTGCTTCCCCAGAGCAACCACTGACATGTCTACCATGTTTACTTGATAGAAAGAAGTAACAAGGGAAAGAAACACGCAAGGCGTTTTACAATTTGTCATAAAATGAGTGCTGGGACCATATTTTTTGCTTCAAAAACATTAGTCAAAACAATTCAGCTGTAGTCCTGGTATCATAGAACACACATATCCTAGCAAATCTCAAATGCAATAGTTTATCAGTTTATTGTCCACAGAAGAGCTTCTAATTATAGGCCTGTGCCAGATTCTCCTTATTCTGTGATGTCTCTGGGGCAGTGTACACGGGCATGCAAATGGGACAAGAAGAATTCTGATTCCTCACGCCTATTTAAACATCCCCTGGAAGTTGTGAAACTCCTCTTCTGGGTTCATGCCACAAACATGATGTGGCTAATTAAAGAGTCTAAAATCAAAAGAACCACAGCTCCTTCTTTCAAAACACGGTACTTCTCTTCCTCTTTCTGCTCCTCCTTCTTCTCTTATAGAGCCCTTACTTCCAAAGTACATGCAAATTAGACATGCATTACTGGAAAAAACTGGAGGGAAAGGAGCTGATAACTTTAGTGGGGCAGAAGGTCCAAATATAGGGCAGGAATCCAGCCCCACACGACTCGCTTATTTGAATATCCCCTGCTATTCATATTCTACTCACCTCCTGTCCCCCAAATTTCTGCTGGGCACTTGCCAAAACTCTGATGTATGAATCTAAATTTGATGTTCAGCACACATATTTCTTCCCATTCATGAAGATCCATGACTACAAAGACTAGGAAATGAGACTCTAGGCCCCAGACCTTGCTTTGGACTGCAGTATTTCCATATATTGGCTCAGGGATACTTAGAGGGCTGGATTTGCGATGTCACGCCTGAGAGCCTGCTGGTTGTCAGCGGGGGTCTCCTTCTTGGCTGAGGAAGGCAGTG